GTAAAGGTGCATTTAGTCTTGATCTTTTTATATATATATAAATTTCAGCAGAGTGAAGTATTTAGTGTTTACAGAGGGTGTTGGACTAATTACTTTGATTCAATTTTGCTGATGCTCTAGGTACTTTCCCCTCAGCTTGTGTTGGTAAAATAGGGCCACTTTGTAGTTCATGCACAGACACAAAGGCATCTCATGCCATCCCAAATTGCAAAAAGAGTAAGAGATCTAGGTACGCAGGTTCTTTCTATCACCAGTTACATTTTTTTTTTCTGTACTTGAGTTTCTGATGAGTTGTTAGTCTTCCTTCATTTGATGTCCATTTGGAAAGTCTGGTAACTTGCTAAGATGGTGTTAGATTTCTGTAGGGTGATAGCTGATGAAGCTTCACATTCAGGAGACAGTTGCTTATAGATAAAGGGCGGAGTATTGATCCCCTGACCTTGATTTAAATAGGTGTTAGTAAATTGTTTTCGCATAATGAATCCTTATGTGGAAAAATTATATAAAGACTATTAAGTGATAAAGGTAGTATAAACCCCCTGAATAGCATCATTCCGAAATAAAGTCGTGATGGTTTGTGGAAGAACATAATAATCAGAACATATGAGGGTTCCAAAGTACTTAGGCTATAAGTTGTGAGATTGTTAGGCAATTAAATAACCGATAACCAATTAACTCAGTGTCTTCAATCCTGCTGACCAAACTCAGATAGAATGATCTGTTATGGCTGCCTTCAACTAAAATTTGTAAAGGATAGAAATGATCTCTTTTCAGATTTTTTGTTCTTTCGGCATAATCTTTTGTTTTACTAAATTTGTAACTGAAGGAAATACGATCCTGGAACTTCATTCTCAATATCCTTTTATTTGTGTTATGTGTTATTTCAGCTCGGCTGAACCTGTTCTGAACTCAGAGTCTTCTAGAAGTATGCTAATTACTACACCCTCACAAGAAATCACTCCACGCAAGAGGAAAAGAAAGTTGGTAGCCTTTTATTTTATGTTTCTATGTTCTCTTGTTTTACATAAGCGGTTTAGGACACCTTTTTCTTCTTTTGTTTGCTTGTGTCAGTCTATTACTGGCCTTGTCCTCCTTTCTAAATGCATATATGGATGGACTATCATTAACTTGCTTGCATTTATTTTCTTTCGATCTTATTTCACTAGTTTGTGGTGCATGATATTCCATTCTTACTTTTTGGGGTATCTTCCAGAGTATCAGGCTCAAAATCAAAAGCAGTGAGATCCATGACTACCCCTGCTCGCATGGCTCCAACAAAAAAGAGCCAATTGAAGATAACTCCAAAGTTGGTTTCTTGCTTTGATGTTCCTATTCGAGTCATGTACTGAGTTCTAATCGTTGTCTGTTACTAAAAGATATGGGTCTGATTACAGGGGTCCCCTCAATCTGTGGTCTTCTTGTTTTGTTCTTGCTTTGACATTTCCATGAACTCTTCTTGTATAACTTAGGAAGTTGATGCGGGAATTGGCTGGAAAGCACTCCAGAAATACTTCGTTGTCAACTAATAAGAAGGAGCAACAGAAGATCTCAATGAGGTTTGTACATTTCACACTGATTTGCTGGGTCTCTATTCATCTATGTCCTTTCTTCCGTTTTATTTCCACCCTTTCTTTCTTTGTTTTTCTGGGTAACTAAATCTTTCCTTGCTTCTTAATTTGTTTCTTTCTTATACTTCTCGTTGTACCTTATGTATAAAAGGGCACTTGTTAATAGGAATCTGTGGTCTTCTAAAGATCAATAGCTCAAAACTTTATAATATCAGTGGAGTGATAACCTATTCTTAGTTTTCATTCTTTCTTGGTTGGTTCTTGTCTTATTGTAATATTTCATTATTATAGTCTCCTTTATATTAATTAGAAGTACCCAGAAAGCTTGTACAGGAACTAGAAGCTAATCTCTTGGATTATTCTTTGTCTAGAGATCAGCGGTTGCACAGACTCGTCTTTGAGGAGGATGGATTGCCTGATGGAACTGAAGTGGGATACTACGCACGTGGCCGGGTCAGTATGCTCATCACTTAGCTTGTTTAGATACATCCGATTCCTACCTTATAACCGCGTAAATTTATACGAGCCACTATTCTGTACAGAAATTGCTAGCTGGCTATAAGAGGGGCTTTGGAATACTCTGTCAATGTTGTAATACTGAGGTAATAGTGGGCTTTGATGGCTTTGTTGTTTCTTAGGCGTGGAGAGAAATGCCTAACATATTTCATTCTGAATGTGCAGGTCAGCCCATCATTATTTGAAAGCCATGCCGGCTGGGCTGCTCGGAAGAAACCGTAAGCTTTATTCTTAATATACAAGCTTTTAATATTCTAATAAATTTTTAATCCTACTCATGCTGAAGGCTTTTTTGGCTTTCTTGGCAGATATGCATACATTTACACATCAAATGGCGTGTCTCTCCATGAACTGGCGATATCTCTCTCCATGCGTCGCAAGTACTCTGCCAAGGACAATGATGACCTCTGCATTATATGTGCAGATGGTGGGAATCTGGTGCTTTGTGATGGATGCCCTCGGGCCTTTCATAAAAGTAAAGTGCAAACCTTCTATGAGAATGTAAATTTATTTTCCACCTTGTCAATCCTGTGTCTGCACCTTTTTCTCAATCTTAATTAACAATTGAATTTTTTGGCTTTATGTAGACTGTGCATCTTTGTCGAATATTCCCCGTGGTGACTGGTATTGCCATTACTGTCAGAACATGTTTGAGAAGGAAAAGTTTGCTGAGCATAAAGCCAATGCCGTTGCTGCTGGAAGGATACCTGGAGCTGATCCAATAGAAGAAATAGCGCAGAGATGCATTCGTATTGTGAAAAACATAGAAGCTGATCTTAGTGGATGTGTGTTATGCAGGTATAGAACCACTGTGGACTAGTTCTGAATTACAATTGCAGCACACTACTAGTTTGATGGTTGATATGTGCCTCAGAATGAGCAAATTTCGATTTTTTGCAGAGGTTATGATTTCAGCAGATCAGGGTTTGGTCCACGCACGATCATAATTTGTGATCAGGTAGTTTACTTTACAATCTCTTTTTCCTTGCCTAAGTTCCTTTGATGAATATGGAAAAGGTCCATGTCAATGGCTTCCTTTTTTTCTGTTCTACTGTTTTTAACTTTCTTTTTTGTGTTATTCAGTGTGAGAAGGAATTTCATGTTGGCTGTTTGAGGAGTCACAAAATGGCTAATCTAAAGGTGCAACATCTAAATCACATTGTTTTGTCCGCTCTTATCTGTTGTATAATGGTATTCTGTTCTCCTGAAAATCTGAATATTCGTGCTTATGTTTCTTGACAGGAATTGCCGAAAGGAGAATGGTTTTGTTGCTCGGAGTGCAGCAGCATTCATTCTTCTCTACAGAAGTTGTTAAGTCATGGTGCTGAGAAACTCCAAGACTCTGTTTTGAACGTAATGAAGAATAAGTACGTGGAGAAAGGATTGGGAACCGCTGAGAATATTGATGTGAGATGGCGAGTGGTCAGTGGAAAATTTGCTTCTCCTGAAAATAAGTTGCTGTTATCTCAAGCCCTGGCAATCTTTCAGGTATCGGCTCTTAAAATTGTTAAGTGCATGACTAGTTCTTCGAAGTTAGAGGGAAGAAATGTGCGTGTTCCAACTTATATTTGAGTTCTTATTCTGCTGAAACAATATCCAGATGGAACAATTACTATGACCAGGGGAAATTTTGTATCCATTAACTTAGTTTCTTTATTTATGTTTGGCAGGAATGTTTCGACCCAATTGTAGATTTAACAACTGGCCGTGATCTGATTCCTTTAATGGTCTATGGGTAAGTTCTACATTTTCTTATATAACATTCTTCAGTTCCGATTTTCAGCCTGATGAGCTTTCGACCTTCATCTCTCTCAGGAAGAACTCCAAAGGCCAAGATTATGGTGGAATGTATTGTGCACTACTAACAGTCAAGTAGGGATTCTTATTGAGTTATTTTTCACATAAACAACCCACTTTTTTTGGTTTGATTTTGAGTCCTGACAAATCCCATTTCTTATCCTCCCTGATCCTTGCAGCTCTTTCGTTGTGTCGGCTGGAATACTGAGAGTTTTTGGGCAAGAAGTTGCTGAGCTTCCGTTGGTTGCGACTAACAAAACTAACCATGGCAAGGTGAGACCTCTCAGCAATGCATGCATTCCCTTGAGGCAGAAAGAGAGGCTCTTATGGATGAAAACTGTTTCTCTTCTTTCCGCAGGGATACTTCCAGTTGCTATTTTCCTGCATCGAGAAGCTATTGTCGCTCTTGAATGTTCAGAGCCTTGTCCTCCCAGCCGCGGAGGAAGCAAAGTCCATATGGACCCAGAAGTTCGGTTTCGAGAGGATAGAACCAGACCAGGTACGGACGAATGAACCTCACCATCTCCCCCCTCCCTGCAGAAACGTCATGTGTCTCTTCTAATCCTTCCATCCCCCATGCAGCTAATCAGGTACCGAAAGAACTTCTGCCAGATGGTGTGCTTCGAAGGGACGTCGATGCTGCACAAACCAGTCACGTCCCCCGATTGTCGAATTCTTAACCAAAGTAGTAGTAAAGAGGAGGTCTCGTAATGAAGCGCAGTGAGTTCCTTATCATTAATTTTATCTTGTAAAGAGGGAAATGAGCTTATTAGTGAGTTTTTCATGGTAATTCTAAGGATGTATGTTGAATTGGCTTGTTCAAGTGTATAGACTAGGGATCATATAGGGGAGGGAGAAGTACATAGTTGACCAGACCAATGACTACTAAGAGACTCCTTCCCTACCTGTATCGGAACGTAGAGCACACCCTACAACATAAGCTTTGTTTCAATCCATGTATTCAAAGCTCTTAACATGCTTAACTTGTTTAAGTCGCGACGACATCTGCATCTTGTGAAAGATACACGATGGCCGAATCTGCTTGTGAGCTATAATGCTTGCCTTCGCGCTGAGGATTGTATCAAGTTTGATCTAGTGAGTCTAGTAGTTCATTTTCATCAGTCTCTGGTTTAGGGTTTTCGGTTCGAGGTAGATGTAGCATGAGATGGTTTGTGACCCAAGATGAAGCTGCTCCATTCGTGGATGTTTCCTTCATCAACGGAGATCAATGGCTTGAAAGAGCAAAACTTGCTCCTGAGTTTCCTGATTATGATCATAATGATTAATGATTATGATTATGTCATTAGAGCCTTAGACACGTAGACAAAGAACGCCACTAACCACACACACGTAACATCTACAACATCGAGCTGATACTGTTATTTAGCTTAATGATTCATATACAACAATACGATATGGATCTCCGAATCTCGTCTTATTAATAATACGAATTCAACAAGCCTAATAGACAAGTGCTATTGATATAAGGTTTACAATCTCGTAATTGATACACTTGTGTATGGATCCAAAATTCAGTACGTACCATAAACATGTGCACTCTTTTAATAGCCTGTTTACTTCTGAAACTCCATGAGAGTGAAGAAGTAGTCAACATAGTAGAACGCCTTGAAGTTTGAGAAGCCAACCGCCAGACCAAGCTGCTTGAACTCTTCTTCAGTCCTCTGCTTGCTCTTGACCCTGTAAATGGTCATCATGAAAATGTCGGCTTCCAGCAGGGCTCGAGTCCTGAGACTGTGGTCGCTCTGCTCCGGCAGCACCGGCTCGATGACGATCATCTTCCCTCCTTCAGGCAGCGCCTTGTAGGAGTTTTCCAGTATCTTATTGCATTCCTCCTCCGTCCACGCCGTCAAAGCCCACTGCATGAGTTGATGACGGACGAGTTATTTTTTTGATGCATTGACGAAATTTGACTATTATATCGACTTCGTTCTTGAATATGTTGCAATAATGAGAGTTATTGAAATGCACTGATAAACTTAAAAAATTATTAGCATGACATGAAATTTGACTATAATGTTTATGTGTCTCTTTTGTGAGCACGTGTTTATATCGTTGAATAGAGTGTTCCGCGAACCATAATTGTCCAATGCATACTAAGGCAACTATTTACAAATGAATATTTGGGATATGGGAAAATGTGATGAACTGACCTTCATGAAGATGGCATCGCCACTAGGTATGGACTTGAACATGTCTCCACCCACATGGGTCACTCCTGCACCATTTTCACCCAACCATTTTTCTCATCCATAAGATTTTCTGTGGATTTCCCTTTTCGGATTGCATTATTGCAAATAATAATGGGGCAAAAATCAACATAATAATGATAATAATGTATTATTTTTTCTTTTTCATATTAGTGGATGGTTGTCATCTCAACTCTCTAAGTATGGGTGGAAAACATTCCGGTTCGGCTTAACCGGACTGCTTACCCGGTAACCGAGTTGCATTTTATGTAAAATCTATAACCACAAATTGGATCGGGTCATATAGGATTTCAACTACGCAACACTCTAAGCTGTCAAATGAAGACAAAAATAATTCATACGACAGGTTGAGGACATACTTTTTCAATCCGTTTAAACACATGTACACAGTCGAGTTGACACGAATCAAGGTATTTTTTAATGTCTCCAAAATACACAACTATAGTGAGTGGTGGGTGATTATTCTCACCAGGAATTTCAGGCGCTTTGCCGACGACTTCCGGCAGATCGAAGTTGATTCCTTGTTCGATGTGAGGGTACTTTTCCAGGATCATCTGTAGGCAATCGCCATTGTTGCCGGCGACGTCGACCAATCTCTTTACACCGTCGAACCCATCGTAGTCGCCCTCCAACATGGCTTTCATGAAGGGCGCGTTGGTGCCGGACATTGCCTTGCGCATCAGCTCCGTCATCTCCGGCCGCTTCCCGTAGTAATCGTACGGCGCCTCGCCGTGCACCTTCACGAACGGATCCGTCGTCGGGTCCGTCACCGTCTCGTGCATTAGCGACCATGTACTCATCAGCTCCTCCTGCTCAAATATAGATAGAATTTGATCATACTTACATTACTACTACTGGACCAACCTGATTTTATCTAAAATGTTATTTGGATGGATGAATTCGAAAAGGAGAGACAATTTGATAAATTATATCATTTTATGAAACTAGTCATTTCGAAATAACTGCACACACTACAGATAATTGAAATTTGACTCAAAATGAATCAATTTGACCCAATTGTTTCGTTTTGAGATAATCTCGCCAAATTTAGACGAACTTATTCTGCCTGGAAAGTTTCAAATTGGGTCGTTTTGAGTCATTTACAACTGTCTTGGGTGGAGGCAGACAATTCGAAGTGACTCATTTTAAATGACTCGTTTTGTAAAATGAGACAATTGGCCAAATTGTCTCATTTTTCAAATGATCCACCCAAACGACCCCAAGTAAATTGATTCATCAAGATTTTCTTTTGACAATCAAATAAATTTGATACAATTAACTCAAAATAATCCAATTTTAAATTAAATTGATCGGTTAGAATTCCACGTCCAAAGATAAATATGACCTTTCAACTTCTAAATTCTCTAAAAAGGATACAAACAAACAGTCTTATTATTTAATAGGATGACCAATTTCTAAATTTTTTGTGGTTGTAATGAAAAAAATTGTATTTTAATTCAATGAATTTGCACAAAAGAAAATTATGGAAGAAAAAGCAATGGGGGCCTACCTGGTGGTGCTGGAGGATGTACGGGGCAAAAGAAAGCCCGTCGGAATCCGTGACCAGAGTCTCCCCGACCTCCGTCAGCGAGTACTTCCTCTCGCCGGCGGCGTCAATATGCTCGTCGAACACGCCGTGGGCGGAGAGGAGCCGGAGGATGCGCTGGAGGCTCCGGGGATTTGGGGACGCGCCGGAGGCGGGAGGAGGGAGGCGGGAGAGGATCTCGGCGGCGGAGACAGGGGCGTTGGAGCCGCCCTGCCAGATGGCGTCGGCGACGTTGAGGCGGACGACGGCGGTGAGTGACGTGGGGACGGTGATCATGTGTGCCATCTCCAGAATCGCCAGCTTGGCTTTCTTCCTCCTCTCCGAGCACTCGCCGGCCATTGCTAGCTCCTCTTTGACTTCTAATGGCGTCTCGCTCACTTTAGTCTCACTCTTTAGTCATTTATTTCTTGCCTCGCCCTCTCTTCCCTTTTTAAAAGGACTTTATTGGTAGGAGGAGGAGTCCATTCTGGTTAACTTTTGAGGCAAATCTATTTCGTGCCGACGTAGTTGGGTCGTCTTTTGTACAAACGATGTTAAGTTTTAGATGTATACAACATTTTAGACATGAAATCTGAAAATCTAATCGGTTATAAACGCGCCGCTACGGATCGGGAAATCGCCGGAATCGATAAAACGAGAATACGAAAGCGAGAATCGAAAAAACACAGACACACGATTTACGTGGTTCACTAACACGATGTGTGTTAGCTACGTCCACGGGCGAGAGAGAGCCGATTTCACTATATCAAGGAGGAGATTACAGATTACAGCGAGACCCTCGATTACCAGTCGTAGCGGCTGATAGTCCGATTCAAGTCATATCAACATAATCATTTACGTTTGTTTAAATTTGACAATGTAATCTATAATTACAAACAATTAATATATTTTTGCTCATAAATATATCATTATGTTGATCGTTAGATGAATTATTATTTTTTTGTATAATGGCGGGCGTTATATGTTTCTTTTTCTGTGATTATATATTAATTAGATCGTAAATGACAATTATAAGGCACGGTTGAAGATATAAAAATCCACAAGTGTATCATAAAGACACCTCTTATTTCTTATCTCATTTGCATTTTGAGTTTCTGTTAACCATTTACATGCGTGCCCTTATTATTATTTTTTTTTTTTTGGTGTTGGAAACACGTGGAGATCATCGAACAGAGGAACACCCACCAACCGCCCATTGAATCAGAGAAAAAAACAACCCCGGCGAGAACAACGAAAAGAGGCACGAGTCTGCTACTGAATTTTTCTATCTGTTCTTTCTTTTGTCTCGTCACAGCCACCATCGATCCATCGTGAATCCTGCCTGCCCTGTTAGCCCCACCTTTCACTATAGATAGCAGTAGCACCACCCATTGTCTCGTACTCTCGTTCCTATATAGGTCTTAAGACAACAACCGAAGAGGGTAATGTTTTACTGAATGGTTAAAGGTCGTCCTAAAAATTACTAACCATCGTCCTAACTTAATATGTAATTTACCAAATTGCCCATTTTGAATTTCAAAATCAAACACAAAACAAACAACTCCTCCCCCTTCCATAAATCTAAAAAAATATATAAACCAAAATTCAACAAATTATCTTATGGATCGAATCATAAATCGTAGTAAAAGAATAGAAAATTATTGATATAAACCAAACAAATCCAAAAAAACCCAAAATCCCTCAACCGAAGCCAATTTTCGGTTGTACCATGGCTCAACCTAAGGCAATTTTCGGTTGTACCATGGACCAACCGAAAATTGGCTTAGGTTGAGCCATGGTACAACCGAAAATTGGCTTCAGTTGAGGGGTTTTGGATTTTTTTTTGAAAAAAAATAAGATTTTTACCTCGTCGGAGTCGCTACTCATGATTCGGACGTATTCTCAACGATTACGACTCGAGAATGTCAACGATGAATTCGAGAGTGTGGGAAATTGAGTGTTTTTCATTTTTTTAGTTAAAGTGATGTTTGTTTGCTAAAAATGTCAAAAGGTTAAAAGTGTAACTTTGTTATTTTTTAGGACGATCAATAGTAATTTTAAGGACGACCTTTATCAACTCCCATGTTGTTTTAGCCGAGTGTTTACAATCTTAATTTATAGGGTTACTTTTAGCCTGCACAGTCGCATTCGATGTTGGTTTATGTATGGCACGATTAAGGTTTGGTGTGTACTTATAGCATTAACGTTATGAGGTTATGAGGAAATGATGATTCATACCTTTTTCCGACTAAATAACAACATATATAAAATAGTCCAGGGAATTAGTGTATCTTGTAATATTCATAAGCTAATATAGCTTCCATAAAGCCAACATTATCGATTTACCCACATGGCCACATCACATAACCAAGCATTTCAATGACGGCTAAAATAAAATTGGAGTTCACATAACTAATCCGCTCTGCTACTGCTACTTCTGGAACTCCAACACGGTGTGGAAGTAATCCACAGAGTGCAACGCCCTGAAATTTGAGAACCCAACAGCCATACCAAGCTGCTTGAACTCTTCCTCGGTCCTGTGCTTGCCTTTGGCCCTGTAGATGGTCATCACGAATATGTCTCCTTCCAACAGGGCTCTCGTCCTGTGACTGTCGTCGGAGTCCTTAGGCAGCATCGGCTCGCAGGCTATCAGCTTCCCTCCTTCCGGCAGCGCGTTGTAACAGTTCGACAGTATCGCCTTCACTTCCTCGTCGGTCCAGGTCGTCAGAATCCACTGCATAACCCACCAAAAATTTGCAAAAACACAAACAAGATTGGACCACGAATCGAAAATGAAGATAATGTGAAAGACTATAAGACAAGGAAAAATATAATCCGATCTTATCTCGATTCGATCTACAGAGGTATAGAAAGGAAATGAGTAAAGTAACTGACCTTCATGAAGATGGCATCAGCGTTAGGTATGGACTTGAACATGTCGCCACCAACATGAGTCACTCCTGCACCCATTTCCACACCCACCAAAATTATTAATATTACAAACCTATATCTATACTAATTTATATTATCACTGACACTAATTAGATTTATTTATTTATGTATTCATAAAAAATGACGCAATTGCTGACAATTGATTCTCACCGGGAATGGCAGGCGCTTTGTCCACAACTTCGGGCAGATCAAAGTTGATAGCTTCGAGGACGTTGGGATGCTTGCGTAGGATCATCCGCAGGCAATCCCCGCCGCTCCCGCCGACGTCGACCAACCTCTTGACGCCGTCAAACCCGTCGTAGCCGCCGTCCAGCATGGATCTCATGAACGGCACGGAGACGCCGGACATGGCCTTCTGCATCAGCTCGTTCATCTCCGGCTGCTTCCCGTAGTAGCTGTACGCCGGCTCGCCGTTGGCCTTCGCGAACGGCTCCGTCGTGGGGTCCACCACCGCCTCGTGAACCAGCGGCCACGCCCTCATCAGCGCGTCCTGCTCGAACGCCGTCAGTTCTTGACCAGTCAATTTCATTTTTGCCGCCTCGCCATTAGGTGTATAGTAAGTAGCGACTAGCGAGTAAAAGGGAAGATGTCGTTCTAGTCCTATAACTTTCATGATTTGCTCATTTTGGTACCTTTAAGTTCTACATTTTTACACTCTAATAAGGACACTAGTTAAAGAGGTGGATTGTGCTTTTGAAGAAGACTACACACATAGACATAATTAGCGTCATTGATGACGGGGTCGATTTCACAAGGTTACTACATGAAAATACAAATCCTAATTCAATTAATGTTACAAAGCACAGTCACTTATAAGGACGTATGAAATTAGAATCTCTAGTTTTTAGGTTATGGTATACCTAGGAAGACTAGGTTAAGATAGTAGTCTAGTAACATTAGAAATCTCGGAAGGTGAAATTTTAACCCGAATTTGCTAGTGATCTTTAAGTGGCGAAACCCGACTTATCAATGCCAATAGTTTCACATGTAATACTATCACATGACCTAACCAACCATTCAAGTATCACATTTTGATACCCTTATCAACCACTTCTATAGTTAATACACAGTGGAGAAAACTAAACATAGTTGGTTCCAAGCGACTACATTAATAAAGTTAAGGTATCAAATTGTCGTCTCTCCAAAATAAGGTGGCAAATTCACAATAATAAACCGGAGGAAAGAGGTGATGAGCGGCCGACCTGGTGGTGCTGGAGGACGTACGACCCGTAGGAGAGCCCGTCGGAATCCGTGACGAGAGTTCTCCCGACCTCCGTCAACGAGTACTTCCTCTCTCCGGCCTCGCCAGCGGCGGTGGCGAGAATGTGTTCGTCGAACACACCGTAGGAGGAGAGCAATCGGAGGATCCGCTGGAGATTCTCCGGATCACCGGCGGATGCGGCGGAGGAAGAAATAGTCCGAGGAGGGAGGCGGGAGAGGATCTCGCCGGCGGAGAGAGGGGCGTTGGCGCCGCCCTGCCAGATGGCGTCGGCGACATTGAGGCGGACGACGGCGTGAAGGGACATGGGGACGCTGATCATGTTGGCGAGCTCGATTATCGCCAGCTTGGCTTTCTTCCGGCTCTCCGAGCTCTCGTCTTCCATGGCTGCTTGGATTGGATCACTCTCTCTCTCTCTCTCTTTCTTCAATTCGTTTCTCTCCCCTCCCGCTTTTATCGAAAACTAACACGCGAGAGAGATGGCGATTGATTGGATCATGCGATGGCTTCAAAATGAGTGTGTTTGGCAGATTCCGCAACCGATGAATGAGGGTATCAGCTTTTTGTGGAAACAGGATTCACGTGTGATGTTTACTTCGGATTTATAGGGGCAGTATGGGGTAGTGAATTTGGACTCATGGATTCCTTCTCAAAATCCATTAGCGGGTTGATTTTGAGCCGAATTCGTGTTATAATGGTTGGATTTTAAATACCTCCTAGGAGAAGTGACATGTTGAAATCCATTTATTACTCAACGTTGTTTGCCTGACATTTTATCATTTCACACTTTTTTTTTAGTAGAAAGTCGAGGACAAGCGTCTAAATCGTATTAATAATCAGACGATCGTGAGGGATACCCATGATATCATTTCACGCTTGATACCTCATTCAAGCGAGAAAAGCGATCCAGAAGGAGCTACATTGCTGCCGTTGATGGCAACGAGAGATCGCCTAGGGCACCAGAGATTGCAGAGGGGCAGGGGATTGATTCTTCCAATTCGGAAGGTGAAGGAACTCACCAGAGATTCTAAGGCCGCAAGAAAGCAACTCCTCACTCAATAAGCTTCAGAGCACTAACGGCTACTAGGCAAGCAAAACTCAATGATGCTACTACTTATCGAAGAGAATCATATAGGAAGTTCATCCTTTGATCAGTTATGATCGATCAGGAAGAGACAAATGGCAGGAATGCATCTCTAGTTTCCACGAACTGCCACGCTTACAGGTATAGATATGAGTAGAGTATATTATGTACAATTCTGTGATTTACCTTGAAGAAGAAGATGATGATGATGAAGCTAACGATGCTTGCTTACTTTGCCTCTGGCTGAGTTTCATGTACAATCCCTGGAAACGACCAAAAGAGTATATAATCCTTGCGTGAAAAGACTTCATCAAACTGTTCCATAAAGATTCTGCAGTTAGATCTCTGTACACTTACGTTAGTGGTGTGTATAGTTGCTCCGGTGGTCATGTTGATTTTCTGATCTGGGACAAGCTTGAAATCCATGTTTTGGAGGAAGATCGTGAGGGCAACGATGGCTTCCAGAAGAGCAAACTGGTCACCAACACATTTACGCGGTCCTCCACTGAATGGAATGAACCTGAAATGTGTTGCATGGCAAAGTTCAGACATCAGAATCGCCTGGGTGCTATGCAAGTGAGAAGTTAGACACACGACTTCATAGAAAGAATACCTGTAATCTGTGTTTGATTCATTTGGTAAAGGGCCTTCTGTGCCGAATCTCTCTGGGATGAACTCTTCTGCTCTATCCCACACCTTGCAAGAGTCAGATTAGAACATCAGCCACTTAATACATTCAGGGCACACATGAAGGCACAAACAGGCTCCACCATGAAGGCCAAACCTTATATAAAATGAGGAGTCTGGGAAGCATGTAATGTTCTCTATTACCTTAGAGGAATGATGGATATTATACACTGAAATCATTATGTCTTGACCAGGATTGACCTTGTAATCGCCTGGAAGCACATCAGGAACTTCAGCCCGTCTCAGTAGTACCTGGAACAGGGACAAGAGAAGCTATAAACAATTTGGACAGTAACTATACATGCGACTTTATCTTCTCCCTTTTCTTTCTACATATCAAGCTAAGCTGAAATTCAAAGCCAGGAAGAAAATGCAACCTACAGGAGGATGTGGATAGAGGCGCATAGACTCAAGTATGCAGAGCATCAAAAACTTTAGATTCTTTACGTCTTCATAGGTAGGCGGTCTTCCTTCTAATACTTTATCGACCTCTTGTTGTGCCTTCATCAATGAAGAAGAGTCCTGCAAGAAGTCATATTAGAAGCAGAATGGCTCAACATTGCGTAAATGGTTTTCAGGATGAAAAGATCATGCATTGTAGAGCAGCTGACATATGCAAGCCCACAATCTTCACATAGGATTTGGCTTTTGAAAGAAATAAAGATAACCCTTCTGTATTTAATGGGATCCCATTCAATCCGGATCACTTCGCTCCAATTCAGTCCAACATGCATGACTCTTTGACCCCTACTTATTCCTTTTATACCAGTGTCAGGCTTTGAAGTTCAGTTTGTAAGACTAAACACAAGCATTAGAGTATCAACAGATGGCATACCTTGCTCAGAAGGTACAATGTCCAGGTCAATACTGATCCTGTTGTCTCATGTCCAGCAACTAGCATTGATAAGAGATCATCTCGTAATTGTACACTCAAAACCTACATCGACCAGTTCAGCAGCAAGATAATAAGCAACAGCAAGTATAAAATGAGAAAGAGGAAGAAAGCAAACCACAAATCATGAAACCCCATTGTCTTACCTCTTCTCTGCTAGCAAGCAAAAACCGAAGAATGCTCGGATCAGCATCATTAACATATTCCTCCCCATCTATCCTCTCACCCTCACTTTCCACAATCTCTTTACACTTCGCGATCAGCTCTTCCACAGTTTGCCTTATAACAGTAACAGCTCTTTCAGCTTTCACTTGTCTTGGTATCACCTTACACAGAGGCTTAATCTGCAACACAAACCATAACCATCAAAACCCTTAAGACAACATCACAATCCACACACCAAGAAGATCCAAATGAATACTCACCTTCCAATATGGCAACAGATCAGTGGAACGAGCTTCTGCTTCTTTCAGAGCAGTGTAGACAGCATCTATCACTGGGCTATCAGTATTCAGAGAGTCGAAGTTATAGTTAAACACTGACAACCCAATTACATCGAGAGTCAACTGGGAGAACTTGGCTTCCATGTTGACACCATTGCCACTTATAGCATCAGCTTGTAGCTGGTCCACCATTCTCTGAGCACATTTGCAGAACACCTTGTCGACAATCACAGATAGATACCTCTTGTGCAGCGATGGAACCACCGCCCTCCGCCTCGCCTGCCATTGCAATGCAAACAGATAAGTATGAGACTCGTTTTTAAAATCATACCAACGAATTGAGGCGTTCTACCCAATAGTCTATTTAAACACGAGATTCGTTATTCAAATTGGAATTTAAACAAAGCGCAGTACATTACCGTCCACAGCTGACCTTCGGCAATGGCGAAACCCGACCCAAAGAGGAACTCAGAGACCTCAGCTACGAGCCCCTTCGCATATTTAGTACCGTAATTCCTCAAAACGTGTTTGGCAATCGCTGGGTCACTAACAATCACGAAATTCCTGGGGCCGGCGGCCAGGCGGTAAATCGGCCCGTACTCGTTCATCCATTTGAACAAAGGGAGGAAGAGAGCTCCGCCGAGGAGGTCGCTGACGTCCTCTAGCTTCGCGCTGGCTACGGGGATGCCGGAATCGTCGTTTCTGCCACCGAGTGTTAGGGACCGAGTCAGGGAAGTGAGCCAGTCGGGACTAACCCAGGAGCTCTGCTTGCCTGCGGTCGATTTAGGCGTTTTCTCATCTAGTGAAGATTTGACTGTGAGACTGTAGGTCTTTTTGGCGCAGGAGCCATTGTTGAGCTTGTGGATAGACGGCCAGCTGCTGCTGCGGCTGGTGGGGAAGAGAGAAAGAGAGGACGGAGGAGAAGCTACGGCTGCGAACGCCATGGCAGACGTCGGCCCTTCTCAAGAATTCCCGATTTGGGGAATTGAATTCGCCGGCCGTTTGAAATGGGTGGCGCAAAATTTGATTTTTATTTGTCCCTAACTTCCTATCCTATTAATGCGACATGCGTGATGCGTGAGTGTGAGTTAGCGTTACCGCGGCCTTTAGCGGTAAAAGGTAAAAAGTAAAGAAAACATCAAAGTCCAAAGTAACCTTTGGAAATTGATTATTATTATTCATCGTCGCCATCCTACGACGTCGTACAAAAGTTACAGAAATGTTTCAAGAGCGGGATATAGGCTGCCACCGCCGCCGTGGCCGGAGAACTCGTCGCAGGTGGCAGGGGAAGTCTTGCAAGCGCCGGGGAGGTTACTCGCGATCCGCCATATGAGCTTCATATCTTCCCCTTGCATCTCGCCTTGCTTCGCCGCGGCCTCCATCTGGCGGATGGAAAGCTCCAGCCCCCTGCAAGTGCACTCCATGTCCATCTTCTTCAGCTGCTTGCAACAGCTCTTCAAGTGCTTGGTCCCGCCGCCTTGCTTCGTGTGCTCCGCCATGAAGCTCTGGCAGTGCCAGAGATTGCCTTGCTCCAAAAACTGTTCCCTGCACCTCCGGCCACCGCCCTCCTCACCAGTTCCACTGCCGCCACCTCTGCCTTGGTTCTGCTGGTCGATAATCACAGTGGTGCGGCGGATAGAGGATGCTTCGGTGGTGGCGGCTGCAACGAGCAGGAGGAATGCTGCCGCTGCTATCGGTAGGGTGAACCGGCGGAGTATTGCAGCCATGGTCGAGTTTCTCTGCTGATTGTTTTGTTATCCGGGCATGAAACAGAGAGCAAATCAAAGTGTGGTGGCGGTGGTAGGTTTAAATGTTTATATAGCGGAGATCGATGAGGGGTTTGCATGAAGAGTACGTGTATGGTGGGAGTCAGAGAGCCAGGGTTAAGGAAGATGGATGACACGTTAGTTTTTGTATGTATTGTGCTGATTTTTACACGTAGCTTTTAGTATCCATGCAAATGGGGGCAATTTGGATCACTGGATCCTATGATCAAAATGAAGATTATGAAGTTGGGAGTATCGTATAAACGCACCTTAACAGTAAAAATGCGGTTAGATATAGGCCAGTAGAAGATTGACACAACCAGAGAAATTCTTCATATTTAAGAATCAGACAGTAAATTCAGATCAGGAAGTGTTTGAAGCAAATGTAAATTCACGAATCAGAATCAGATCCTGAACCTGAATCCATAAATGGTGGTTGGACCCTGTTCGTGTTGGCTTCTAATGGTGGCAACCCATCATCATCCGTATCTTCTTCTTCTTCATCACCACATGACTTGAGCTGGTTTGCTTCTTGGCTTGTAATGGCTTCTGCATGAGCTCTTCCATTGATATTATCTTCCTTGAAAATTTCAGGCCTGCACGTTTAGGCCAAATATATATGACCCCGAAAGGCAAGACTGGGAAAGAAAACAAGAAGGAACAATGTTTGGGGTAGGAATTACAAACCATTCAGGAGATTTCTGAAGCTTGCGGACTTGTTCATGAAACAGAACTTGGGTAACAATGCAGGTTACCTTGCTGCCTGACTCGATCGCCTTTTCCTTCCCACTTCCATCGACGACTACAAAGCTTCCTGCCAGTTATCAATACAGCAAGTAGAAGTAAAGCAACTGAAAGATAGTTAAGAGAGCTACTCGATCTGAATTTGAATGATTCAGTAACAAACCATTCTTGATCCACATGCTCTTCTGAAACTTAGCTGGAAACAAAGCTAAGGACTTCTCTCCTTTCGTGTCCGCCACCTAGAAAGAACCACACATACATAGTATTAACACTCAATTTAGCAGAAAAAGGAAGCTATTTCCCCAGAGCAAAAGGAGACCATACCTCGATTAGGTTGGAGCCTCGGAGTGATAGCACCCGCATGATGCTTTGACCATCCTGAAGCGTTAAGCTATCTTCATTAACTGCTCCCCTCTTCAAGTTCTTCCTTCCTGCCTTCATCTTTCCTTCATTAAACACATTTCAACTGTAATCAATACGCCGTTATGAAATTTGAACAACCTTTCCCTCCAAAGTATAGAATGCAACCAAACCCAATTCAATTTCGACAACTAAGCAATAAACCCTCTAAAAGGATTTGATATCTGCATTTGGTGATTAGTTAGCTACACATAGTTCTATCTACCTGTTAAGTTTGACCCTTCACCATGCCTACAAACTTTCAAGTACTATATTACTTGCAACTTTGCAGATCAACCCCTGATACTGCTCCTTATTTTAGCACTCTAGTTGCAGCACTTATCCTCGAAATCGATTCAATAACCCAAACGAACAAGCTAATAGCTGTAATGATAGCCATGCTGCTGAGATAACACATTTAACCTTGAAATGAGCAAAGTTTCAGAGTTCCTTACTCTGACAATACGAAACAAGACGAAATCAGCATGGTTTTTTCACTTTCAACCATCCAATCAAACTTGATCCTAATCAGATTCGGCATCTACTAGAACTCTCCCGTACCTTCCAATTCTACTCCTTAACAAAATTGGACAGTAAGCCATTCTCCCGGATCTGCTACAGCCAGCGGCTAACCGAATACAGATACTGCTGGTCAAACTCTTTACAGGTTTCTGGATTCTAGATTCATGACGGTTAGATGGCTTCCAATTCCAAATTTTCGTTCAGCAAAACCTAAAACCGGCGATTTCCCGAATTCCCCCAATACGGAAACAGAACGAAGCAACGGAATCTAGCAGAGAAGACGAGAGGAAGGAAATACCTTTTAAACTCAATACGGAGACCTCCTGCAATCTTCAATTCTTCACCCCTCCGGTGGATAGCCGCCGGCTTTTGCTTCTATTGCTTTTCGCAGTTTCCTCTGAAGTTTTCAGTCTGCTGAGTGCTGAGAGCCTGAGATGGTGCTGCGCGCTAGAAAATGTTGGCGGGATTTAGTCCGTAAGGTTTCGGAGAGTGGGCCTGTACGTTCTAGTATTATTGGGCTTAATTTTCCTTGTTTATGGGCCCTTGCTTTGCCTTTTTACAAATCGGCTTGGGCTATTTGGTTCTCTGGTACAAAATTGACTTCTGGTGCCCCTTTTTTCTTAACATTTCAATAATAACCCTGAAGAGTGAAATGCAATGATTCACTAGCATATCTATAATAATTAAATAAAAGAGCAATGATGGATTACCTTGGTTGTAAATCATATGGTCAAGAATACATTTTTTTCTCTACTAGTTATGAAAGATATATAATCTTTTCTTATTTGCAGTGAGCACGTTGTAAATGACACCAAGAAAAATGTGTCGTGATTGCATGCACATTATTCTTCCACGATGACATTGATAAGTTTCGAGCTATCCTCATAAACCGCATTATGACCTAGCCATGGCCAGGTACTTATCTTTTGGTGAAAACATTCATGATGAAACCCGTGTTGTTAGAGATAACCTATTGTGAGTGGTTTTGTAAATATATACACCCAATTGACAGTGTGAGAGTTCTAAACCTAGATTACTAAGGGTTTTGTGTCATTGACGGAGCCAGTAATCTGAACGAGAAGAATACTTATGTCTAAGTACACGACTCAATGGTTAAAACCATATGTACTCATGGAAATAATTAGCTTTCACAAATGGGAATGGGGAGGGCAATGACTTTTGACATTTTGGTTAACAACTATAAAGTCTGCTTAAACAGTTAATATGCACTGAATTAACTATAGGTAAATCATGGAAGAACAACAACTGCTCTCCATTGGTCCACTGATTCGACTACCTGGCTATTGATTTTACCAGAAAAAGATTCATGTTGGAATTAGTCTAAAAGCCTTGACTTTGACTCCAACAAGAGAAGCTATTTTCTTCTAACGCGTCTGTCGTTGAAAAATATAGATCAAGATTGTACCTTTCTTCATGCTCTCTGACCCTGAGTACGTAGAGACGGTGGCGGACCACATGAGAATTAGATGGGGTCGAAATAGGTACAAGGAAAGTAATTATTAGCCGGTTATTTATAACAAGTGAAAAAACGGCAAGCCGATTTTCAATTTTGTACTACTAAGAAATTGTGCAAAATTATATAAGATTCACTAAAAAAATAGATAGAGTAAACAATATGGGTATTAGTAATTTAGTCAAAATTCTTCGATTTTGAACCTAAAGGTTGAAACGGACAAAATATATTTTTTCTAGCGTTTGTAAAACCATACTGTACCAATAGATAAAACCACCATTAATAAACTAGTCTTTTGATCGGGTCGCCGGTACGATTTTGTAAATACCGATATTGAATATCAACGTATCATACTACCATTTGGACACAACAATAACAGATTTCGGGTTAGGTAATGAATCCAACCCAATGCACTCTCCACGTAGCACTTGGATGAGGAAAGTGCTTGCCCGCAGATTAGTTGGAAGTTGCCGGTCTTCGTCCGTCTAATAAAGCCAGCAGTCATTTACTACAAATGGCCCTCAAAAGTCTTTTATTACGTACGTCCAGGGGAATTTGAAGAGACCTGATTGGTCGATATTCCATGCCCCTTAAAGTCAAACGAAGCAGCCCATGTTTTCCCTATACTTTGATTATTTAATTCATTTACGAAATTCCTTCTCTTTTCCCTTTTGTTTGTTTTTTATAGGGTTTGGTCGATCGAGTCAATGCAAGAATGAAGAGAGACAAACTGTCCCAGCGGTGTTTTGTCTATCAAAAGTCAGCTAAAGTCGTCGTCGTCGTCTCGAGACTCTCGATCGATCATCCACCGGGGCAGGCGGCTTAAACTTCTCAATTAGTTGTTTATTTAAGGGGTTACTTCTCTCTACTCCCAAAGTTCAGCAGAAGAATTCCATGATTTTCACACTGTGGATCCCAATCATGTTAATTAATTCATGTTCAACCTTTTCGGTCCCTGGGTGATGGCCGGATGATGATTCACGTACTTTGAAAAAGTCTATAAACGTTGTGTTTGAAAGATTGTATGTGTAACATTGTCATCGTCCGCCAGATAGATAAGGCGAAATGATGCGAGTTATTTCGAAGACATATGAAAGGTAGATCTCATAAGTCACATCTGATCAACTTCTTACACATCCAGAAACGTAATCAAATTAAGATGGTGATGCAGTGATACGAAGCTAGGTGTTGTAAATTGAACATAGTTACTTGCTCTATGTGTTCGGATCAGGATAGGGGGTGGGGGGAATCCGTTTTGACATTCGTCTCGCTAGATAGCTCGTGCTTCAGCCATTCAAGCTTGCGATCCGACTTGACTTGGTGCAGGTACGTACTTTCGTAATGAGGAACGTTGTTCAATTTTTTTACTTTTTAAGTATTTACCTTTTTATCATTATTTTGGTACTACGATTATGGTATTTACAAAGATACGTTATTTTCATTCGATCTAGCTTGATCTTTCGTAACCAAGTTTCAGTTCGAGCCAAACAATCAACAAACAAATGAAGTTCAAATCAGATATAAACTCGGCCCAGATCGGATCGATTGTCGCCCTGAGCATTATCATAAGATTTTTTCATGGTTATACTTATACAACATGAGGGGCCACAGCTGAAAATTCCAATGGTCGCGATTTGAACACAGAGCATGTGATTTGAGACTTGACCATATTGGCATACCGATTCTAATACACAGACATTAATTATACAGCATGTGCATGGAAACTCAAGAAAATATATATCAAAGCTTTTTTGCATGGAGGGGTTTTTCGTGGAAATAGCAGCCAGCCCACCAAACCGAGCTATATAAATGATTCACCAAATAGACGTGATATATATTAATAGGGTTTCTCCAAATTTCTTCGTGCATGCACGTGAATTTTTTTCCCCATGTGCATGCTCTCGTTGAAACTTCAACCAATGAAATAATTTGTCTGCTTTAATCAATTAGTTTTTTGGGTAAAATTTGTCTGCTTAATAAATTAATCTACGTACCCTATTCGTACAGTCAGCAGTATGACTAAAGAATAAACCCTAAGAATAAATCCAGCGAACAATATAATTAAGCTTGCATGCAATTATTTACTCAATTATGTACTTTCACCTAATAATTTTGCTGTCGAATCGATTGACAATTAATGAATGCACGCCTTGACAACTATCAACCAACACTACGAATCTGTTCTTGAACAGTAGTATGATTGATTGCATACTCTAGTTCATGAATCCAAGAGCTCAATTATCAGTTAAGTAGGTTGAGGGAAGCATGCATTAATCTATCAGCTAATAATAATGGCTTCTATGTCTTGACAATGTTGGCTGCGGGTTCGATCGATGATGCCTATTAGTGGTTGACGATGCAAATTCAGATAAGTGCACATTTGGTTGTACGGCAAATATGTAAGTGTTAAGGGTAATGTAATTATTAGCCAACTGATAAAAGTATGCCTCGATTGCAACTTCTCGCTTGAACTCGTTGAGAACACATTCTAACGGTCTAATAAGACCGACAAACGGTACGTGAAGACGAGCTTTTGAGCCTATCCCAAATAACAAGTCTGTAGATTGTAGTATACAATCACGAGTTATCTCATTCAAACTGGGACGTATAGAACAATGTATAACTTATCTACGGTATCTAAAATCTTGCTTCGTTTTCTTGTTGCTTCTCGTTTGAGAAGATTAATATTCATGCATCTAGCTATTGTACCCACTTAAAACTACTGAAATTAGAGTTTCTGATCATAAGAAGGCAATTAAATATATCGAAAATCATTGTAGAACTTGTTTCTAAGCATACATCCATCTAAGTTGGAATATTCTTGGAACAAGCTAAAATACGTAATTTTATTATCATTACGAGAGCTAATCAAGTAGTATACCAACTAAATTGCATAAATTAAAACGAATAACAAATATTAGTCATACGTCTTAAATATTAATTGGTATTTTATTGTGTGATGTGGAGCTGACGTGGAGGGTGGAGGGTGGAGAATCCCCCATGCACCGAATGAGGAAGAAAGGACAAAATCTAAATCAATTCATCCACAGCTTGAACCCACTCCCAACCACACATAGCCCAGTATTAATAAATATCTCCTAAAAATAACAATATATTATTCAATATTAGAACAATTAATATTTAGTTTTTTGGGTGAAGGAAATAAGATTATTCAAATATGTCCTAAAAATAATATTTAGTATGCACAACAACAAAAAGTCAGAAAGGAATAGCTAGAGATAGGCTTCAATTTTTATGTCAAATTTGTTAACTAAATAAATTAATTTTAGGAGTTGACATTACAATATAGGCATTGACTTTTCATTAGGGACGGGACACGATTGGGTATAGGTCACTCGTGCCTCACCAAAGAATAAACTAAGACCTAAGAGTCAGTGACCTCACACTCAAAAGGGGGAATGAATTGAAAATTTGGATAGAAACAAACAATGGAAGTAGCTAATAGTTGGCACCATGTTTTTTGTTTGCTGGAATGAATGCATACTCATGGGACAATCACATGGAAGCAATCTAGCTAGAGGAAGAGAGGTTTGATGAGGTTTAGGAGTTAGATATCCAATGTGGATTAATCGACGAAGAGAATTTAAGAGTATGTGTTTTAACGACGATTCAATTTCGCTAAAAAATTTAGCATGAAGAAGTGAAGGTTATAGTCTGGCTAGATTCCTTGTATATATAGATTAATTTGAATTTCAGATTAGACTCAAGATTACAAAGAAGAGGTGTGTCGAGCAACATACATGTAATGGTGGTATCGGCCTATCAAACACAAATTATTTGAAGATACTCAAATTTGAGCCCATATGTAGCTAGAAACTCATGGTTCAAGACAAGTCTAGGGCATTGGAGTAGCGAACTAGGCATCGACGATGGTATATCCTTGTGATTAAGAAAACAAAATCCAAAACAAGTGATCGTAAGTTCATATA